GGATCCAGGAATTTTTGATTGGGGGGGTCCAAACTTTGGTTCAGAAAGGACTGTTGGACTCTTTGAGGCAAATTACTTCTCCCCCACACCCCCTCCCACCAGTCGCGGTTGCACGTTATAATTCCTTGGCCGCTTACCGTTTATTTGGATTCATTAAAAAAATCAGCCGGTTAAAAGTGATATACGATCCTGTCTCAAAGTTGTAAGCGTCAGGTTTGATAGGCGGGTCGGGACCGCCCGGACCCTCCCCCTGGATGCGCCACTGAAAGGGGGTAAGGTTCTAAAGAAACTGTGGTGCTGCATCGATGGGGGAGTATTTCACACTTCGCTCTAACGAAGAACTGACGCTCGAAACGTCAGCTTTGAAACTCTTTACGGTGACCAATCTACATAATCAACTTAGTTGAAAAAAACAAAATTGACCTTAGTATGAGGAATATATACACTGATGAGAGGGTGTAAAGTGGTGATACAAATCAACGTTACAGCATTTCGTATCCGATATGCAAGGTTCAGAATCACATTGTTATATGGACATCTTTTCCAATATTTCTCTTACTGTAGTATAATCCATAGTTTCTACGTTACGATTCATATCTGAGAACCATATCTAGTCTTTCTTTGCAGAAATTGACCAGGTTGAATGTTCACACTCGTGGTCCTCATGGCACAGAAGTAACGAACGATTAAGAAGGAATACTTACGTCTTAATCTGTCTAAGAATCCAGTCCCTGCTTATCCACTTCACATTTTCATCGATGACAGAGTGTTCGTTTTCACTCGCCTCCTTCTCCAGCCACTCCACAACTGATTTGTTGTCATTCCACAAGTACGACTGCAGCATAAGAGAATGTATTTACGAGGGGACATATCACTTTATTTCACAAAAGGGAGAAGGAAACAGTTCCGCTAACGAAGTGCAATGAGTCAAAAGTTGTAGTGATAGGACAAAATAAACGAGTTACTATTGGAAACAAAGTTCAAGAAGGGATGTTTACCTTGGTATTCCCGTGTGCCTCTAGAAACAATCTTTCCAACATGGAACAGAGCTGGGGACTCGAAATATCACTAGGAAAAGCAAAACCGAAAAAAAATTTAACCAACGTTATCGCATTTTATGTCCAGAAGTAACTGCACTGTTTCCTTACGGATTAGCCTTCCTGATCTTCTTCTTTGCGTCTCTGGTCATCAAAATTCGCCTCAGACGCCAGTAAAAGAACTGGCGGGACTCTTTCCACTTGAGAACTTCCTACAAAGTGAAAGAAAAACACGCATGACCGGGAATTAACTCAAAAGTTAAATCGAAATTCCTTTTTTTTCGCATAAAGGCCGAGTATTTAGAGTAACAAGAGGAACTTACCAGTACCATGGCAATGTATGGTTACGTAAAGTTAATCGAGTTTCGACCCACCCAGCCCTAAGTATTTTTGAATTAATAGCTCGCTAAGCTCTGTTTCTTTTGTAGAGAGGGGGAAAAGGACATTGAAACTATACATTGTTTGAGTCCTTCTTCCGTTCAGTAATTTGAACGGACTACGATAACAACGACAGTGAAGAATGCGAAAAGAATGAAATGAGGACGACCAGAAATTAAGATGAACTTACAGAGATGACACCCTTTTCTTGCATACGCCCTGGAGTATCATGAAGTTCAGCAAACTCCACGGAAATCTGTAAACGAGAAGTACAAACATCAAATTAAGATCCCGTGTTGTAAATGATTCTTTATCGTAAAACAAATCCAAACTTTCAATCACCTATCCATCACTAAACGTAATTGTCTGACGCATTTTCTCGGTATTGCCCAGCATTCGATTTTTCACCCTGGATAGCCAGATAACCTTTAAGCTGAGATAACGAGCCAACCTAAGTAAAAATTGGTGGGCCCGTTTCTCACTTGAAAGCCTTTTAAAAGAGTACACGGTGATAACGCATATTTTTCCCACTATTGAAGTCAAGATGGGCATGGTATTTCTTGACAAAGTTGTTATTCACAGTACCTGTTGATAAATGGGAAGTAACTTTTCCTCCCGTTCCTTCTGCTGTCTCTCCAATGTTTTACGTTCTTTAACTGGCAAATCTGAAACAAAGTCGTTCGGTTGAAATACAAGAGATTTCGAAGCGTGAAATACTATCAAACACGTAACGGAATTCCTCAAATTTGTGCAGGTGTGCTGGGCAGAAGTTTTCCAAGGTCGTCAGTTGACACGGGTTAGCCTCGTTGAAGTTATGTAAAGATATTTCGTTTTGGGGTGCATAAATTTTGATTCCCTACCCTGAACCGTAGGGTGTACTATTAAATTCGGATGTCACACTCCTCCTCTGTGCCGCCATCACCTCTCACAAGCACCCGAAAAATCAAGCGAGTATTTACCGGCTGATGCGAGAGCCTGGGCGATCTCTTGACATTTGGCATCCAATCTGTGCATGGCTTTAACA